TCCGGTCGGTTGTGAACTGATGCTGCTCTGCGACAGCCCGTCTACGGGGGTTCCAGCAGACAGGGGCTCCTGGACTTGGCGTGAGCTGGGACTGAGCAAACTCGGCTTAGTCCTGACTCATGCTGGTCCAGGAGCTACCTCTGTTGTGGCTCTGCAGTTTAAACGTAGTGGAAGCTGGACTGCCTGCATGCCTAGCTCTTACTATGTTTAAACTGTACAGCCACAGTGGGGGTTGCTCCTTCAGAACACCTTCCCTTATTGACTAATCATGTAGTCGATACAAATTGTCTCCATCCATAGAGGTGTTTAAGTCTCGGCTTGACAAAGCCCTGGCTGGGTTGGTTTAATTGGGATTGGTGCTGCCTTGGTCAGGGGGCTGGACTTGATGGCATTCTAAGGTCTCTTCCTGCTCTACGATTTTATGATACCCCATTACCCACCTCTTAACATCCTTACCCAGCCCCCTCACTCACCACCCTGCCAAGACCTTGCACCTACAGCCCCCTCACATACCCCATCCACCGAGACCCCACACTCCCAGCCGACTCCTGCATCCTCCCGCAGGCCAGACTCTTACCCCCAGGGAAGGGGGTTTGGTGAGCATAGCTCTCTCACTCTCTGGCCACGAAAGTCATCAGAGAGAGGGGGATTGGTAAGCCTAGCGAGCAGGGGGCACAGCTCCCTAGTAATTTTTAAAATTTCATTTTCCAGTTGAAATTTTCCAGGATTTGACCTCTTCAAAACTAAACTTTAGGTGTGCACATTAGATATTGAATATGGTTCTTTTGCTAATGCAATAAAAGCATGCAGCTAAGGAAGACCAGACTGCTCCTGCATTTTATCTGTGCTGGAATATACACCCCTTGGGGTTCTAGCTGTTCCCGTGATCCATAGCCAAGTAGTTTCTGGCTACAATATCTCCCTCCATCTTTTTTCCTATTTTAAAAAAAGAGAAATTAGATTTTTTAATGTAATTTCCTAAATTAAGAGGATGTAAGTGTTGCAAAATTAGATACTCTAAAGCGCTATACAACCTTTACTCTGCTATTCCCCGTGAATGTGTATCATAGTACAGAGTAGTTACATGATCACAAAGTATTTCTTAAATACAGTATACAATTTTTTCTTCACACTTAGAAACACTACTAAGTTTTTGTAATTTCCGTCCTACCCTTCAGTACCTACATTATTTTAATCTTAACAATAACTGACTTCAGAAGTTCTATTCAGGTAGATGGATACATGCAAAGTGCACAGTTTCTTTTATTACATAATTAATTGATTTAAATAGAACTCAGAAACCATCTTTGGAATGGATTTCACAAGAAATCTCACTATCACTTTGTCTTTTATAGAAAGGAGCAAGTGAAGATCGCTCACTCTTCTGATCAAGGTGTTGTCCACCAAAAAGCCAGTCTTGCAAGTAAGATTATGGGTAAAGGGTTGAATCTGAAATTCGAAATCTATAGTGGTTTGGACACTATCCAAGTTCTGTTTTGCTGCCACAGGCAGTAAGAGAGAACTGAAGGACTGCCATTGGTCTGCTCTTTCATTGGGTATCTTAAACATATTTTTACATACAGTTATGTTCGTAGCTATTCTGTTACACGACATGCCACAGATTAATCATAACTGTTTTACTATACATTTTTCTTTTAATGTGTGTCTGTGCATCCAAATAAAGTATTTCAGAAATAGTTAGTAACCACCCCTATAACTAAAGGCTGTTGAAATACACACAGGCCCAGGAGGACAGTCAAGCTTGTTTCCAAATATATGAGTACTTAGACATTGACTCTAACCCTCTTTCCATAATCCTTAACGGAAATAATTCTCAGTAACTTGCTCTATAATGCAAGGATCTGAAAAATCCTTTTCAGAGAAGAAAAATTTTCAAATCTTTATTAGATTCAAAGTTTTACCAGGGATCAAAATTCTCTCTTCAGGAGCAGTAACAAGAATATTTTTCCTGGACCAAAGAACAATTATAACGGCCCAAAGGGTTTCCAGCTTTGTTATTTTATAACCTTAAACATCAAGTTATTGTATTTTAGGCTATGTCTACATTGTACATTTATTTTGGAATAAGCTATTCCGGAAGTAATACTCCAAAATCTCTCATTTCAAAGTACCATGTCTACACTACAGAGAAGCCTCGAAATTAGTCCAAGGCAGCCTCCACTAATATGCATGTGCTACCTCGATTTAAAGCCCCAGGAAGCACTGGGGAGTAATTACTTCGAATGGCCCTAAAGGAGGAGCTATTTTGAAATAGCAGGGGAGCATCCACACACTACTGCTATTCTGAAATAACTGTTTTGGAAGAGGCATTATTCCTTATGGAATGAGGTTTACCCATGCCGGAATAAGCCACCCATTACTTTGATATTATTTCTAAATAACAAAATTGCTGTGTAGATGCTTGCAAAGCTATTTTGGAATAACGCCCTTACTGTCTTACATTTTAGGAGATACCAAAAGGTCTTATGTGAGATCAAACCTGTAGGAATCTTATCAATCAATTACCTTAAGAACTGGTGCCTTTTCTTCACAGATGAGCACACGGATATCAGGATTTCGTAAATCTGTACAATAAATCTTCCTGTCTCTTCCTCCTGAATAAACATGAGTGAAGGCGTCATTGACCTGCAGAGCCCAAACACCTTCATCGTGGACTCGATAAGTGGCTATACATCTTTGCTGGCCAAGGGACCATAGACGAATAGTTCCATCAGAACTTCCTGAAAGACACTGAGAACAAACATTGTATTTAAACTATAGCAATAAGCACCTGGAAAAAAGTGATTATTTAAAAAACAAAACAAAACAAAAACAACAAAAAACAGTTCTTACATGGAAGCTCTCAAAAGCTGTATTTTTCCATTAAGACAATGTTAAACTGAGAATTGCATTACATTTTTCTTTACCTAATGCATATACTGTATACTGCGTCAACAAGAGAGACTGAGACAAAAAAATACTATTAATGGTTTTATTCCCACCAACTGGTTCACCATCAAACACAAATTAGCCTAGTATTACTTTATAAGTAAAACAAAAGATAATGTATTCAGATGTGAACTCACAAAGTCATTTTTTAACAATATATTTGTCAATTTTCTTAACTACTAGTCACAATTATGCATCATACAGTAAGCCAAAATGTTATTCACAGATTATTCAGTTTAAAATATTTATATTACATCACCTTCTTATCAATGTAGGTTTTTTTTTAACTAAAATATATCTATATTCTATATAGAAATATGGAAAAAACTTGTACTGAAAATGTGTAGTAATATTTTGATAGAGCTTTAAAGAAAAACCTTAGTGAAAATATCTGTGCTTCAAATGAAAACCTATACCTGTGTCCCATCTCTGTTCAACAACAAAGCTTTTACATTATCCGTGTGCCCTTTAAGTTTCATCAGCTTTGCACAAGTCCTTGGATCCCAAACCCTTAAAACCTGTAAAAGTAGAGAATTGCATATAATTTTTCCTTCTTTTCACACATGAATTGCCTACATATGCAGTAACAGATCATTAAAGTAACTCCCATTTCTTCAAATAAGTGATTTTTCCAAGTGTTATTTTTTAAACAGATACTCACCAACACCTAACATCTTCTCTATTATCAGGAATATTTACAGAAGAGATTTTTATGTTTTTACAACAAGACCAATTTACTTCATATTCTGACACAAGTTAAGCAAGAGGACATTTATTACAGAGTACATGCAGAATTAGATTAGAGTTCAGTGCCTTAAAAAACAAAAAACAAAAACAAAACAAAAAAAACAGCAATCATTTTATTAAGACTCTAAGGGTATGGCTACACTAGCCACCCTAGTTCAAACTAGGGTGGCTAATGTAGTCATTCGAACTTGCAAATGAAGCCCGGGATATCCTGCAATGAGGAGTAACGGTAGTTTGAATTAAGAGTGTTACTTCGAACTACCTAGCCCGCGGGCAGGGAGTTTGAGCTACCGGGCATTTAAAAATGGCGGCGCCTGGGAACATGCAAATGAAGCCCGGGATATTTAAATCCCGGGCTTCATTTGCAAGTTCGAATGACTACATTAGCCACCCTAGTTCGAACTAGGGTGGCTAGTGTAGCTATACCCAAAGAGTTCTGCCAGGTTCTGCTTACCTTCTCAGTGGACCCCGATACAATTACTGTTCCCATTTGATTCATTGCAAGGCTGTAAATGGAATCTTTGTTCCCACTCAGGGAAGAAGCTATTGAAAAAGAAGATAACAGCATTAATGCTTTGTTTTCTCCATTTGCCAAAAAACAATTACTTCATTTCGGAGCCAACTGCAGGTTTTGATTCAGTATGATGGTCCTATGTGAAAAGACAGCAGACTCCCGGCCTTAGTATTTAGAATTAATTTTAATAGGCAAACAATCTAGTTAACATATTGCTAGAAAAAGCCATCTCAATTTCTAACTTGCAATTCTCTAAAAATAACTTATGATAATGGTACACTGCAACACCACTGCACTAGTAAACTGTCTATAGCAGAGGTCAGCAACCTTTCAGAAGTGGCATACCAAGATTTAACTAATTCACAGATCTGTGTGCCAGGGGGAGATGGGATAGGGAGCAGGAGCAGGCTGGGTATGGTGACCATATTTTCTGAACCAGCTGCAGCTAGGGAGAATGATTTAATTTAAATTACTAAACAGGTTAAGTGTTTTAACTTTCTCATGTTAGTTTATCAAACTTCATTTTAAATAAAGTAAAAGATTATGTCCAACACAAAAGCTTTCAATGTTTTCTTTATTTATGGCAGGGGTAGGGAACCTTTTTTGGGGTGGGGGGAAATCTCCTTGTATGAGGAATAAGTGTTATTTCAGAAGAAGGGTTTACTCCCGAAATAACAAACGCTGTGTAGATGTGGTTATTTCGAAATAGGGTATTTCGAAATAGCGGCGGGCTGAGATTATGCAAATTAAGCATGGGAAATTCAAATCCGTGCTTCATTTGTAATTTTGCTTGTCTGCATTTGCATCTCTCTCTCTCGAAAGAGGGTGCAAGTGTAGACATACCCTAAAAGAGGAAAATATAAGAGACTCTGAAATATACCAGGTTTGTGTTACAAACAGAGACTATAACATTTTGTATATGGAAATTCAATTCCACAACTTCTAAAAACAGTATTTTATAGATTACTAAGGGGCTGCGGCCCCTGCTTGCTACCTTGGCCAATCCCCTCTGTCCACCGCAGCCAGATCATGTCCTCCCCTTCTACCCGTGCCGCAGCTGGATGGGGGACTGTCACCAACCTTTCCTGTGGCCAGGTGGAGGCTGGACTATGGGGCCTGCCCCAGTATTGGGGCTGGGGACAGGATGCTGTGACCAGCTGGGGTCTGGGCCCTGATTGGGCAAAGTGTCTGGTTGGGGGGAAGGGTTAGGAGCCGGCTGAGAGCAGAGTGTCTGGCCAGGGGGTAGGGGACAGGAGCAGGACAGGGTGCAGGAGCTGGCTGTGGGTAGGGTGGCTAGCCGTGGGAAGGTGGCAGGGGTGAGCTAGGGGCAAAGTATCTGGCCTGGGGGGAGGGGTCAGGAGCAGGGAAGGGTGCAGGATCATATCAACATGCTGCTATTCACAGCCAGGGGAGGGGGAAAGGAAGTGGCAGCATGTGCACTTCCCCACAAGCTGGATCTAGCGCAGAGCCTCGGGGCTCTCTTCCTGCTCCCTCCCCCCACAGGATACTAGCAGAGTCTGGAGCGCCTGGCCTGGGGCAAGCAGTGGCAGTTCCCCGGGAGCCAGGTCAAGAGGCAGCCGGGCTACAGGAGCCGGGGCCCACCAGCAGAATGGACAGCTGGAGCTACTCCCCTCGATCCTTCTGCAGGAGAGCCCAGGGTGTCTCCCCAGGAAGGTCAGGGGAACTCCAAGCCATGGCCACCACTTCTCCTTCTGAGTCTGCTGGTCCTAGGTCCTATGGAGCAAATATAGCACTTTTATTGTAGTGTGGGGATGGATGTGTCAGAAAATTTAATATTTCTCCAAAATGCAGGGGTGTGTGTAAGAGAAGGCTGCAAGGATCCCATCATCAGCACAGGAGCATGGACACAAAACATCAGAGGAATAAGAGTCAGTTCAGAGTTCAGAACTATCCCTCAAGCCTTGTCACTTTCAGAAAGAAAGGCATAGGCACAACTAAAATGGATGTGGGGATGGATGTGTCAGAAAATTTAATATTTCTCCAAAATGCAGGGGTGTGTGTAAGAGAAGGCTGCAAGGATCCCATCATCAGCACAGGAGCATGGACACAAAACATCAGAGGAATAAGAGTCAGTTCAGAGTTCAGAACTATCCCTCAAGCCTTGTCACTTTCAGAAAGAAAGGCATAGGCACAACTAAAATGGATGAAATAGCACTGAAAGCAATTATCATAGTCCTTATTATAATCTAAGGCATCATAGATATAACTGTACGGTACATAAACTCTCCACCTGTTTTTTAAACGCATTGCTCACCATGCAGCAGCACAAACATTCTGCCTAATTGAAAAACATGTGGCTTCATTTCTTAAACATCTACAACAGGAGTGGGTAAGAAGCAGCTAACCAGCCGGATCCAGCCCGCGGCTGCCTCGCCATAACACTTAGGCACAGAGCAGCTACAGTCGCTTTAAATGTAGGGTGCTCTGTGCTCTAGATGCTAGGGAGCCAGGAGAGAGACACTGCGTGCTGCCCCACCCTACCCAGCAAAATCTCTCAGATCCCACTGGCCAGTTTCTGGCCAATAGGAACTGAGAAATGTTACTAGGAGCAGGGGCAGCAAGTAAAGCGTGGCTCTCTCCCCCACTGCCAAAGCAGAGCCACGTGGAGCAGCCAGAAGCCTAGGACTGTTGCAGGACGCCTGCCTCAGGTTCCTTCAAGGCTGTTGGCTGGAAGCCACCTAGGTAAGCACATTCCAACCAGAGCCTGCCTCTGGCATCTCCCCTTCTCCCAACTACCTGCCCCAAGCTACCACCCAAATCTTCTGCACCCCTTTCCCCCCCTTCTCCCAGGTCACAACTCCCTGCCAGGCTCTGAAGCCCCTCCTCTATCCCTCCCCCAGGCCAGAATCTTCTCCTGCACCCATACTCCTCCTCCTAAACCCTGCATTGTATAGCAATACAACATGTCTGATTTCACTGAATTTTGCATAAAGTTATATTATAGGCTATTGGGAAATTATGGTTATATATTTGCTCAGCAAACATGATCATATTATGATTAAGATATTACCAGCCAAAAATGTATTCTTCCAGTTTCATAATATGTAGCACTTGATTACTATATCCAAGTGGACAAAGGAGAATAGTTATAGTGTCTCTCCATTGTAAAGATCCAAAAGCACAAATTGTGCCGGAAACAAAAGTTTCACACCTTTGCTATTGAAGGAAGCCTTCTTCATAAATAAATATTGTTCCATCTGAATTAGTGCCTTCATCTAGAAAGACTGATGGATGCACCCTTTTAACAAAGGCCTGTCTGCTGTCAGGCTCCTTTTACTGTTTCCTGTCAGCCTAATAAATGCAGGATCAAATTCTGCCTACATTTACAGTTTATAAAACTCAGTGAAGTCTGTAGAGTTATACAGAAACAATGGCAGAATAGAACTCTACATCTATCCTATGTTTCAAAGGGCCTCTGGGGGCATTCAGTATGTTTTTCTCTAGCCCATTAGGAACACTGTTTACTGAACAATCAAGTGCTTAAGAAAAGTGATAAAACCAGAGCATTTTTTTCCTTTGGGCATCTTTACTGATTGAACTTCATAAGCACACATTTGTTTCTACTCCTTTTGATCTAAGGTCAAATAAGTGGCTTGTGAATTATTTATAGGGATGTTCATTTACTTCAACCTGGCACAATATCATTATAAAAGTTTCTAATAAGCTCATCTTGACTTGAACTACAACAGTCTTACAATGTTTTCCTCTAAGACAGCTACTAAATTTCTAAGCTATACCCATTAGGCTATAAGAGGACCTACCCATAGTGTCAGCAAAGATTACTTGGAAATAAAATCGCCCAACTACTTCAACAATAACCAGCTTTCAAAAATTACTGAAATAAAGCAAAAGAACATTGCTAGCCATTTGGAAAAGATGGCAAAATATTCACCTGGAACACCACCGAGGAGTGTTTACATTCTTTGTCACCAAACAAACTCAATGCTCCTGAAAACTGGGTGTATGTTCTGTTACATTACAAGCACACAACCTTTAAAATGGGGCTTGAAAAATCCATAAGTGATTAGTGAGAGACTTCTCTAGCAGGAGCCTTCATCTAAACCAGTGGTTTTTGCCATGGTGCCCGCCCATTTATGTGCACCCACCTAGTGACCAGGGCCGGCCTGAGCCATTCTTGTGCCCCTCCGCCCCTGGGTGCCCGGCAGCCCCAGAAGGTAGGGGACCACTGATCTAAACCAAAGCAACATGTTCTTCCTGACTCCACACACACACACTTTCAGTGTCTTTACTATTGTTCACAGCTTTATCAAACAGTGCAGAAGTAAAATGAACAAAACTGATCTTTTTATTGGTTTTATTCAGAACCTTATAGCAACAATGTAGGAGAGACCTGGGATTCACCAAAGCATTGCTCTTAGACAGCTTTAGTGTTGTTCACTCCTATTTTGCCCCACCCTCTCCTTTTGTATCTATATCTGCCTATAGATGTAGGCTATACACTTGTAGTCTTTCTATGAGTAGGCACTAGTTATGTTTATCAAGCTCTTCTTTAAAAGATAAATACAACTGCTTCAGTCTAATATAGAAGATGGGAATTATAGTATGCAGGAAAAAAAAAAACATTAAACTAATATCCTATGGGGAAAATACTACAATTGAGATGCTAAGAGCTTTTGAAGCTAAAACTCTATTCAGTCTAGATGAAATAGAGGCTCATTACATTTAATGTAATAATGTTCAAAGAGATTTACTCTGTTCTAGATTCTGTAATAAGCTGCTCTAGTTTTTCAGCTAAAACCATGGTTTGCAATGATCAGATTGATTACTTGTATTAATGCTTTCAGTATATTAAATTCATTTACATTTTAACTACTTTTTCAAAATCTTTAAGGTGTTAACAAAGACTGGCTCTATAATTCAAAGACAGAGTGTTAGTCTCTAACCTGTGAATTACTTATATTCAGGAATTTCTTATGATTATTAGACTATATTCTGGCCAGTTCCTCCAAGTCTACGAGAAAACAGCAGAGAGCCTCTCAAACTACCAAAAAGAGTCTATAGAAATATAAGCATGGTTGATAAGAAACAACTGTTACTGTAGATGCATTCTGTGGTGATGAAATGGTGATCCATTAAAAGATGTTTTGGGAAATGCCAGTTGTTCTGGTTGTTAGGAATAATGGCCAGATTAGAGTTTTCTGTTTGTTAACCAATCACACAACCTAAAGACATTGTAAAGGGAATTCCATCAAGTAATAAGAAACAAAAACATTAAAACATAAGATACGGGGAAAAAATGTTCACAGGAAAACATTTTTCCATTTCTTCGTCTCATATCCTATAAAACAACACCGAAAAGCTCCAGCTACACTTTAATATGGCAGTGTGGCCATGGCAGAAGCACTTGAAGATAAACTAGCTCCACAAGGGGAGTAGCTAACTGTGGTGGAAGTACTGATCCCAGTGCTGTTGCCTGATTTACACTGATGCTTTATAGCACTAACTTGCTGCACTCAGGGTATGTTTTCACACCCTTAAGCCAGAAAGTTGACATTGAAATTGAAGCCTTAGACTTAAAAACTACTTACATACAAAAATCAGACATAAAAATACAAGAGAGTCACAGCACACTATTACTGAGAAGTGTTTACTTTCTCATTTTTAACATGCAAGTATAAATGTATTGAAATATAAATATTGTACTTAGAAGTTCCCCTGAATATACCACTGGTTGAGAACCTCTGTGGTAATGTATCTGTTGTTTCTGTATAGTGCTATATTAATCTCAAATTAATAATCTTTGATTAAATAATTCCATTTCAACCTGTTTGACAATTTCAAATTATTAAATTCAAATATGCAACAATACATACACAAAAACTTGAGTTTACTGTCCTAAACTAAACCAATGAAAAATGTTAACAGATGCATTGTATTTAATTTTTTCCCCATGTACCTACTTGTGACAGTGTTGTTTGAGGCAGTCAGTGCTGTGAGAGTATTTACATCCCAGAGGAATATTTGTCTGTCCAGCCCGGCAGATGCTACCAGTTCTTTATCTTTTGCATATGCTAAGGCTTTCACATAATCCTACAATAAAATGGGTACAGCAACATGACAATACAGAACCAACAAATAACCTAATGGTTTTTCTTAGAATAGTAATGATGATTCATACAATTACAATGCATGCCTTTTACCTTATGCGTCCTTAGTGTTGACATGCAAAATCCCTTATGTGCATTCCAAACTTTAACAGTAGTATCCGAAGAAGCAGATATCACTAAATGGAAAAGATTAGTATGTTTTAACAGACTTCTTTATCAGGAACATGTGAAGCTCTTAAAATCTTTTAGTTTCTCTTTAAAAATTAGAGGAATTGTATGAACAAAGATATACTTCACCGAAAAATTTTTATACTAAAGAAAACATGCAAAAAGTTACCAAAGTTATAGCAAGTGAAGCAGTAGGCAACAGTCATATACTTATATACTTAATACATTTCTGAACACCTAATTTTCCCATTTCATACTTAGGGTTGCCAGATTGTTTCAACAAAAATACCGGACATACTTGACATTACATCACAATCTACATAACATCATATTTAGAAAATACCGGACGTTTATATTTTCTCAATTTGTTTCCCGAACAGGAAGCTCAAATACTGGACTGTCGGGTTCAAAACCAGACACCTGGCAACCCTATTCAGACTATTAAATACTGCACAAAATAAAGTGGTACTTACATGTTTTACCATTGCAACAAAGTACAATATCATTTACCCAATCGGTGTGATGTTCCATAGATGCTATATAAGGATCTTGCTGGAATTAAAAAATAAATTGTGTGAGGTCCTCTTCAACATTGAAAAGACTAAATTGGTTTATGGATATACTTGCGATATCCCCTCTAACCTCTCATGAGGTTCAAATACCCCCACTGAATAAATTGGCCTACTTGTGATAGTTAAAACAGAAATAAAAGATACAGTGCCAAAACTGAAATCCCTGCAAGCTGCATGGAAACTTTAATTAAAGAGACATCATGATAGAGGCTCAACTTAAATGACTACCTCAAATTAAAAAAAAAAAATCAAAAAAGTACCACTGCACTAAACAACAAAAATAAAAGAAGCAGTGAAAGACAAAAAGGAATTCTTTACAAAGTGGAAGTTAAATCCTAGTGAGCAAAATAGAAAAGAGCATAAGTTTTGGCAAACGAAGTGTAAAGGCCAAAAAAGAATCTGAAGAACAACTAGCTAAAGACTCAAAATAGAATATAAAAAAAATTGTAAGTAGTCAGAAGTAGAAACCCTGCTAACTAGTGATACCACTGAATGATTGAGATGCTAAACAAGCACGCAAGGACAAGACAACCATTACAGAAAAACTAAATGAATTATTTGATTTGGTCTTCACGGATGAGGATGTGAGGAATGCTCCCAAACATAAGACATTCTTTTTAGCTGACAAATCTGAGGAACTGTCCCAGACTGAGGTGTCAATGGAGACAGTTTTGGAACAAATTGATAAACGTAACAGTAATAAATCACCAGGACCAGATGGTATTCATACAAGAGTTTTGAAGGAACTTAAATGTGATATTGCAGAACTATTAACTGTGGTTGGTAACCTATCATTTAATTCAGCTTCTGTACCAAATGACTGGATGATAGTTAATTTGATGCCAATTTCAAAACGAGCTCCAGAGGGGATCCTTGAAATTACAGGCTGATAAACAGGCAGAACCTTGACTTCAGTACCAAGGAAACTGGTTAAGCTATAGTAAAGAACAATATTGTCAAACAAATAGATTTCATCAACAAATGTTACAGTTGACATTGGTGTTTGTAAAGGAAAATCATGTCTCACCAATCTACTAGAATTCTTTGAAGGGGTCAACATGTATGTGAACAAGGAAGACCCAGTGGATATAGTATACTTAGATTTCCAGAAAGTTTTTGATAAGGTCCCTCACCAAAGGCTCTTAAGCAAACTAAGTTGTCATGGGATAAAAGGGAAGGTCTTTTCATGGACTGGTAACTGGTTAAAAGATAGGAAACAAATCGTCAATTTTCAGAAGAGAGAGATAAATAGTGATGTCCCTAGGGATCTGTATTATGACCCGTTCTATTCAACATATTCATAAATGAACTGGGAAAAGGGTAAACAGTGAGGTGGCAAAATTTGCAAATGATATAAAATTGCTCAAGATAGCTAAGTCCACAGCAGACTACAAACAGCTGTAAAAGGATCTCACAAAACTGGGCAACTAGTCAACAAAATTCTCGGGTGTGGTGGCAGTGATCCTCAGCTCAGGGCCTTGATTGGGGGAGACCAGCAGAGCTGGTCCAGCAGGATCGGGCAGTGAGAAGCCCCAGAAAGCGGGAAGACGAGAGGCACCCCCAAAGGGTCTTCTGCGACCTCACCCCATCACAGCACCAAATATATAAGAGAAGATTACTAAGCAAAAGAGCTCACAACCTAAAATCCTGTAAAGGTGCTGAGCTAAAGACACACCACCTTGCAAGAGCTGGCCCTAATTAAGACAGATAACATATTAGTAAAACAGAACATCATAAGCAATAATATGTCTACACTAGCTCGTTAACTCGAGCTAGGTAGGCAAATGAGGCGACCAGGGTTGCAAATGAAGCATGGGATTTAAATATCCCTGGCTTTATTTGCATGTTCCAGTCCGGTCGCCATTTGAAATTTCACTAGTCCGAACTTACTGTCGCATGTAGCCGCGCGGCAGTGAAATGTTAATTCGAACTAAGTCCTTAGTTCAACTTAACTGTTACTTCTCATTCCACGAGGAGTAACAGTTAATTTGAACTAAGGACTTAGTTTGAATTAATGTTTCACTGCTGTGTGTAGCCACACGGCAGTGAGTTCGGGCTAGTGAAATTTCAAAATGGCGACCGGACGGGAACATGCAAATAAAGCCCAGGATATTTAAATCCCGGGCTTCATTTGCAACCCCGGTCACCTCATTTGCCTACCTAGCTCGAATTAACGAGCTAGTGTAGACATACCCCAAAGGAGAAAAATTAAGACAGAACCTGATAAAATAAAGGGGAGTTGGAGAAGCAGAAAAAGGAATCTCTAAGATTAAATAAAAAAAAAAAAAATTATGATCAAGCTAAATAGCATACACTCATGAAAAAAGTCCAGATCCATCAAAATAAGTACATTAATAAGCAAAGCAACTCCATAATCCCCCAAACTATATATCCTTTATTAACTATTTTATAGTGTTCTCTTAATAGACTAAGCACTTTTGGTTATGAAAACATGCCTTATTTGTCTGTAAAATGCCATGTACTTTTTTGTGTAGTATAAATAGGATAAGGTCTGCTGTAAACCCATAGCAAGGTGTCAACATTTTGGTATCTCATTTAAATAAGTCAATCTGACAGAAGTTGGTAATGTAAAAAGTGACTTACCTTGTGCTGATTGACACTCCATATCCTTATTATAGAGTCTCGACCCGCTGTGAAGAGTCTGTTTAATGCTGGATCCAGCTGGAGTGCATTTACCCCATTTCGATTATACTTTTCTACCTCATCTCTAATCACATAGGAAACCTAAAATGTATTTATAGAAAACTGATTATGATATTCAGATATTTAGTCTACATGAAAGTAGTGACTCTGCAGCAGTTGTTCTCAACCTGTTTATTATGGGCTGTATACATGGCCCACAGGCAGATGGTCTCAGTGCACACTCTTCAACTCTCACCTTAAACCACTATGCCCAGTACCCCTGCCCAAAATGGACCAGGAGCGGAGCCCTAGGTGCTGAGCCAGGTGGCTGGATTGCATCCAGACCCACTGTCTCAGAAGTAAAGCCCCATCTAAAACTTGGGTTCCCAGTGCCCCCCCCCCTCTCAAGGCCCCCCCCCCCCAAAGCCTACCCACAAACTCACTCTCCTGCCCTTTGCCCCTCTGCAGCATTCACCAGCTCCCTGCTGGCAAAAGCACACAAGCAGGCTTTAAGATCCTGTCTGACCTCAGCCAGCATCACCCCTTGCCAGACTAGAGCAGCAAATTAATTTTCACATGTGGGGTGCAGGTGCTAATTAGAAATATAAAAAGAGTAGTTGAATAGTCGACTACTTGCATTCCC